TAATATTTCCTGCTGCTCGCACTCAAGAAAACTCTGGGGAGCTGTGGGGGTGGTGGGTAAACGCCCCACAGTTCAGTGGATTGTCTGAGACTTTAAGGTAACTGGAGATTTGAGACTCTTGGTAGGATAAGCATGGGCACCTGTGACTAACATATTTATGAGATGAAGCTTTGGTTTGAGTGCCTACCACATGGCTGGAATAGTTCTTGGTAGCAAGTCACAGCTGTCAAAGATACAGGAAGTCCTTGCCCACATGGAAACTATGGGGACAGTCTGACTTGCTCTGAGTCTCTTTCAGGTAGGATGTGAGTGTGATGATTAGTCTTATCACACCTCTGAGGCTGGTCCACAACTCAGCCCACCGTCTTCTTCCCCTTTATGTTCTGCCTCCTCCTTTCACCCAATTTAGATACACCTCCCACAGTCTCTCTGCAGATTTATATGAGAGGGGTTGGAGGGGTTGAAAAGTCAGACCTGAGAGAACTTGGGTCAGATTTCACAATTTTCTTGAGTTTTGTTTTTCAAATCTGTAGAATGGGAACAGCCACATTTTCCTCACGTGTCCATTGTGATAATACTGAAGATTGTGGAGCTGAGGGGAAGCCTCTGACCTCTATAAGCAAGCATCCTTGGATCCACTTTGCAGGGGGACAGTGCTGTGACAGTCTGAGACTGAGCCACAAATATTGCATGAGATGACATCAGAGAATGAGCTTGACTAGGTGGGAATCCTTGCCACTAATCCCAGGTGCCGACTAGCTGAGTAGATTTCCTCTTCTCAGTCACTCAAAGGCAGCAAGTTTAACTCAGGATTATGGGAACAGGGCCTTCAAGTGGAGCTGAGTACCCTGGCTCAGTTCCTTAACCTTTGCAAGGCTTTCCCTCAACTCCACAATCTTCAGTGTTATCACAATGGACATGTGAGGAAAACATGGTTGTTCCCATTCTACAGATTTGAAAAAAAAAAAAAAAAACAAACTCAAGATAACTGTGAAATCTGACTCCGATTCTCTCAGGTCTGACCTAAACTATTATTACCTTTTTATTTGCAGAGGACCTGAGTTCAGTTCTCAAGAGTTCATGTAGAGTGGCTCACAACTGCCTGTAATTCCAGCTCCTGGGGGAACTTTGGTCTCTATAGGCACCGGCACACAGACAGACAGACACACACATGTACACTGACACATGCACTCACAAAATTAAAATAAACCTTAAAAACAAAATTAGCGTGAATAAAGTTTGCCTTGTCCAGACACCTCAACTGGAGTGGTAGTCTCTTTCTTTGCATCCCTGAACTTATTTCTAACACCTTGAACTTGCTAGGGACTATCCTGTCTTAAGGCCTTGTCCTGGCTATTCCTTCTGCCTGAAATATTATTCTCTCAGATGGCTATCTAGCAACTTCTTCACTTCCTTCAAGTCTTAACACCACAGTGTCAGTCTACATGAAATTGCAAATTTCCCTCTCCTCTAATCTTACTCTTCAGTTACATTTTTCTATTTCAAGCACCACTTTGTATTCTCTTATTTGCTCATTTTCCTTGTTCATTGTCTGCCATTACTCAGTATAACATAAAATCTGCCCCCAGGAGGGGGTATTTTGTCTTTGTGGCCCAATGAGCTTGATGTAGTAATGAATAAATGTTAGCAAATGAGTGAATGGTTCTTTCAGCAATGGTAATGCAGCTACTGGAATCCACACTGGAAAAACTAACTCTACGGTATCAAGTTATACTAAAGCTAGAAAAACTTGAAAACTTTAAATGCTATAACCCACATTTGGAGGCAGAGGATCAGTAGGTTAAGGCCAGCCCAGGCTACATACCAAGTTTTAGGACTGAGCTATATGAGATCCTGTCTTAAAAAAAAACAAAAAACAAAAACAAACAAACAAACAAACAAAAAAAAAACTAAAAGAAACAAATAACATAAAAGAAAACTTAGAATATTCATGTAAAAAAAACTACCAGTATATATTCATATAAAGGAAAATAGACAGCTCTGGTGAAAGCAGTGAGAAAAACTGAGTCAATTTTCTCAGTCCACTATAATTAGCATTCTAGAGCTAAAGCCTAGCTAGATTCCTGTCCCTCCCACCCACTGTAGAATCCTGATAATGGATGTCCACAAGAGATATTTATTTTTCACTTTTTATTCTTTTACTCACCATTCTTTGTCCATTTTAGCAACTTAATTCCCCTACCCCCAACCCCTTCTGCCCTATAACTATCCCAGCTTATAAGTAGAGGGTGTGATCTAATTTTGATTCTTACAGAGACTCCAACCCTTTGCAGGTTTTTCTCTCCCAAATAAAAGCATGTATTGTCTTAAAACAAACAAACAAACAAACAAACAAACAAAAGAGTCACCTTTGCCAAAACTTAAAAAAAAAAAAAAGCAGCAGGTTGTAATGGAGGGAATCTCATTCTTATGATGCCTGTTCATAAGAGCTAACACAAAAGTCTTCCAGAATTACAAACTTTCACAAAGGGCCCTGAAATTGCACATAACATATCTGCAAGGATATGTGTCCAATCGTGGACTGATATTACCATTTTTATGGATCATGGTAGCTAAGGATTCAAAACAGTAGTCTTCCTCTTGTCTTTTTAACAACATTACTTTGTCATACAGCTTACTAGGTATTTCATTCCCATTGCAGTGTTACTCTCAAATAAATTTAATAATCTTTGGAGACTGCTTCTGTTTGGTATTTAGGTAGACCAAAATAGTTTGATTATTTCTATTTTCTACAACAAAAATTCATTGCTCTTATAATAAAAACAACAACAACAAAAGGGGCTAGAGAGATGGCTCAGCAGGATTCTATTCCCAGCAACTACATGGCAGCTCACAACTGTCTGTAATTTTAATTCCAGGGGATCTGATGTTTTCTTTTGGCCTCTGTGGGCACTAACCAGGCTTGTGCATGGTGCACAGATAAGCATGTAGGTAAAACACCCATACAAAACAAGCAAAAAAAACCCCCACCATTAACAAAACTAACATAAAAAAAAAAAAAAGGAACAGGGCAGGGAAGGAAGACTATAAAGAAACACAGGGAACTTTGCATTGACAGACTGATTTTGTAGTTATGTTGTTTATGATACCATATTATTTGTTAAAATCTAAGCAATATACACTTTAAAAGACAAGTCTTTTTTTTTCTGGTTTTTTGAGACAGAGTTTCTCTGTGTAGCACTGGCTGTCCTGGAACTCGCACTGTAGATCAGGCTGGCCTCAAACTCAGAGATTCACCTGCCTCTGCCTCTCTAGTGCTGGGACTAGAGGCATGTGCCACCACCGCTCGGCTAAAAGACAAATCTTAATGTATATAAATTGTGCTTTAAAAGTAGAAAGTACAAACTGAAGCTCCTGAGACAGTTAAAATAGACATCAGTGTTCAAATAGAGAGGCCTGGAACACTTAGGAAGGGGAAAAAAGAGCTTACAGCTGGGTATGAGATAGCCAAAGTGACCACAGAAGAGGTAGGACAGGGCTCTGGGCAAAAAAGCCAGTGTCTGTATGCTCTGGCTGGTTCCCATTTCCACAATGGCTTGCTGAAGGATATACACAAGGCACTAGCTGGTTCCTTCTCCACAACAGCCCTACTGAGGGACATATAAGTCTCTGGCTAGTTCCCACTTCCACAATGGCTCTGAGGGACACAACACAAGGCACTGTTGCCCTTTCACATATTCTTGCTTCTAATTCAGCTAGCTGCAACAGACTGAATTGTGGGTAAAGAATAGCTCCTAACACGATTCTTCCACCTAGTCCAAAGAGGAGATCACCCCAGGTCACCCTGTAAACAAAGAGCTGGATATGAGGCAACACAGAAAAACTACAGCTAGATCTTAGTAGGTGTGACAGAGTTAGTGTTACCTCTCCACAAACAAGTACACCACAAGCCAGTGAGGTTGCGATGTAGCTCAGTGGTAAAGAACCTGTCTATTATGCATGAGACTGAGTTCAATTCCAAGCACTACAACAAAACAACAAAATGAAACAAGCTCTACAAACTGGCCACATATAAGTAAGAACAAAGAGAATAATTTAATGAACTACCAACAGACTCCACCAAGTTCTGAGACCAGCAACACCTGTAAAAATCAACAACTAAAGGGCTAGTAGCCAGCAGACAGTCAAGACCAAACAGTTAACAAAGCTAGTCAGAGATGAACAGAACACTTCAAAATGTGATTACTACCCTGTGTGAGCAGCATGTGAAGAGCACACAATTATCTCTTCAGTTGGGTGAAGAATATATGCAGAGTAAGGGATTCTTCAATTGGCGTGGCCTGTGATATGCTCAGAGAATTAGCCTATGTCAACAGAAATCACCTCAGTCTTTGTCTAGTTCTCTGCTACAAGTCTTGCTCCCAGAAAACAGCTCAATGTTTTTTCCTTTCTTAGTACTCTTCTCACTTTCTTTAAATTTTTTTACTTTTTGTTAACTTTTCTGAACAATGCCTGCTTTTGCTTTACTTACTCCTATATGTGTGTCTTTAATCATTGCCCATTTGACTGGATGTATGTCCTTTGGTTATGACTGATTGGCATCTGAGTCTTTGAATCACAGACATCTAGGCTGAGAAAGGCCTCGTTGCACTCAAAGATCTGCATCATTCCACTGGTGGTAAAACAGAGCAATGGGTGGGGCCAGCTCCTGCTCTGATAGGACCAGTGTCCCTCCTCCATACTCCATTCTCCTGGGACTCCTTTCCACTGGCACAAGAGGTCCACTTAGCAGCTTGCCACTTACATCAGCTCTCCTGACTTCAGCAAGCAGATTTCAGCATCCTGCCCCACTGGCATGTCTTCAGTGTCTTCAGGGGTTAGTGAGTTTGATGTGGTATCTCTGAAACATCACAAAGGAGAACAAGCCATTAGCTATTAGCACACAAAATCATGTAGCCTGAAGTCTATAATGGAGTCATGTAAGGACTTCAGTGGGGACAGCAGAGGGAAGACAACAGGGCTGTAAGGAAGGAGTGTGCATGAGTATAATCACACCAATGAGTCACTCTCCTCTTCCA